ATAGGTTATTCATAATAATATATTACAAGATAAATTATTAAATTTGATTATTGCTTGAAAGCTACTTGTGAAAGCAGAAAATATGTTTGTTTAAATTATCCAAAGCCACAACTGTTTGAAAAATTCATTGTCTTAAAGCATATCTCAAAGGAGCAGTGAGTTTTAAAAGCTTCCAAATTCTACCTGCTCTAATCAAAATCCAAACTGGTAAATGTTGCTCAGTCATCCAGAATATGATTTCCATGGAAAGCCTTTCTTTCAGTCTTCCTAAAACATGTTCATGTCTTAGTTACTTCCTAATTAGACTTTTAGAATGTGCTATATATGAGGCTGCCCTTGAAGAGTGCTGCAAAGCTGTAACTAGTGCAAAATGCAGTAGCCAGATTGGTGTTAGGTATGCATTTTTGAGACAGTATAACACTGGTCTTAAAACGACTTCATTGGCTTCCTATTTGCTTCTGAGCTCAATTCAAGATTCTGGATATGAACTTGTAGCTATGTGTCTTCAAGTCACCTTCAATTTATAGTGACCCTATAGGGGCTGCGGTGGCGCAGTGGGTAAAACTGCTAAGCTGTAGGATTTGCTGACTGGAAGTTTGGTGGTTCGAATCTATGGGATGGGATGAGCTCCTGTTGCTAGCCCCAACTTCTGCCAACCTAGCAGTTCAAAAAGATGAAAATCTGAGTAGATAAATCAGAACCACTTTGATGGGAAGGTAACTGCACTCCATACAGTCATGCCAGCCACATGACTTACGAGACATCTATGGACAACGCCGGCTCTTGGGCTTAGAAATGGAGATGAGCACCACCACCCAGAGTTGGACACGACTAGACTTAATGTCAAGGGGAAGCCTTTACCTTTTAAAGATAAATCTATATTAGGGTTTCCTTGGCAAGATCTGTTCAGGATGACCTTGCACTGAGTCTTCATCTGAGGGAGTATGGCTTACCCAGGATAACCCAGTTGGTTTCAAAGGCAGAGTAGGGATTTTATCACTGGTTAATAGACTCATACTCCAGTGTTCAAACCACACCAATGGCTTTCTCATTACAAAGCCCTAAATGACACAGAACCAGGATATCTTTAAAAAAGTGTCCTCTTCACCTCTGTCGCATCTCATGAAGTTAGACTGGAATATACACATAACAGGGCTTTTTTCTGTAGTTAAACCCTGACTGACTATGGAACTCTCTACCTAAAGTAGGCTGTCTTCATCCATTCCAGTAGGCAGCGAATTTATATGGTTCCAGTTTACTTCAGTGTTGGAAATTTCTGTTTCAATTGCTTTAAAACTGCTTTTTAGATTACTTTTAGAGGTTTTTTTGAGAGCCTTTAATATAGTTTTAAATGTTTTAATCTTTTTGTTATTTTAATTGATATTATTTATAACTGCCTTTGAAACCCTTGTAAGTTGGATAGCAATATAGAAATACCTTAAAGAAAGAATTTGTCTTGCCTGCCCTTCATTCCTGACTTCCTGACTTCTCAGATACTCTTGAGTACTGATTAGCAGGTAAAAAAACCAAACAAACAAATAAAAAACAATAGTAGCAATAGCAACTGGAAGGAGGTAAATTTCAGGAGACTATTTA